ACCATCTTCTATGTTTTGCCATTTACAGCTGTTGAAGATTAATACCTGCATGCATATTAAAAAAAAACAAAAAACCAAACCAAAACCACAACCAAAGCCATACAGAAAAGTATCATGGAATAAAACTATGTTTGTTTATTTCAACAGAATGCTGAAATTTCAGTATTTGAAGTGAACATCCGTTTTGTCGGTGGATTACTTTCAGCTTACTATCTTTCAGGAGAAGAGGTAAGATATTTCCACATGGCTTATCTGAAATATCACCATCTAGATAAGTAGTTAACTTTTAGTTTAATAATTTTATTTATCAGAATTAAACTCGTTTAGAACTTTGAAAATGGCTTGTACAGCAGAGACCTGTCCAATAGATTTTCTTGCTTCTACTACTGTTGCTTTGTGTAAGTCTTAGAGTTAAATGATTTTTTTTTTTTTTTTTTTTCCTGAGTTGAAACCATACTCAGTACATTCTTACCGGGCTTCGTGCTGGAGTGTGTAATTACAGAGTTCCTGTGCCATGGTAGTGGTAGAGTTGGTGCATCAGGTACCTGCTTCACAAATTGATTTGGAGCATATTAACTCCCCTAAACTATACTTCAGTTGGCCTTCCTGAAGCTGAAGCTTCAACTTGCATGGAAAAGACATGTTAAGAACGAAAGGATAACTGGTAAACCTATATATCTGAATGGCTTTAAAGCATTAATATCCTATTAATCTCTGCCTGTCATGGTTTCTGGAGAGGATGAAGCAGCAATTTAAGAGCTTTAACTAATGCAATTATTTCTGTAATATATTTAGAGAAGGCTATACTAAGTCACAGGTACTGTGATATTTTAAATTTTTAGCTTGGCACTTGAAAAGTCTTTAAGCTTACTAGTTTAAACTCTTGTTCCTGTCTCTGGATTATAGTAGTATTTTTATTGTAGCATTAACACAAGTTAATACTCCTTAACCATAAGTTGAATTTTATCACTGGGTTTCTTTAAATCCAAAGCAATTACTGGTGGAAACTCTACAAAACCCTGAAGATGTATAATTTTCTTTCATATGTAGATTTCCCAAATACTGGGTAAAGCTCTGTTTTGAACCTGTCACTTTAAATTAACTTAAATTCTGTGATGTGCATGTTGGTTTTTGTTAAAATTTATCATTATGTTAAAGCTGCCTTAGCAGGTATGATTTGGTCATGTACCTGACAAAGCAGTTATAAGGAGGCAATGTTTCTCTGACACTTTACATCTTAAGTAAACTTACCTACTTACCTGCTATGGTCCTGTCCTGAGTGTAGGTGGCATTGAAAAGATGTTAATGTTTTAAAATACAGAGTTTTCTTTATTTTAACTGTCTTACAATTTTCTGGAAAAAAATTGCACTTAGGCTCATTTCAAATTCACACTAAATAATTAAAAAAATTGAGAGATGCTTGGTAGCTGGCTTCTTCATCTTTACTAAGTATTTTTTTGCTTAATGTTTCATCTCCAACTCTTGAAGGAAATCACTTGTCCTCTTACAGTAACTCGGCAACTAAATGTAAGCATATCTAAGGATGAATAGAATTGAAAGCTCTTCTTTCTGTGATTAAATACTTGTATTTTTCACTGCAGATTTACGTCTCACAAACAGGAATGAACTTTTCCAGTATAACCTATTGCTATGTTTTAATTAACTGGTTCTGACAGAAGCAGAGGATGCTTCTTGGCAGACAACAAGCTGGTAGAGGACTGCACATGAGCCTTTACATGAAGTGGCAGTTGTCTGCCAAGAAATGCCTAAACCATTTGTTATCAGTGCTGTTGATTTCCTATATATATATGTTGATGGTTTATATCTTGGGTCTGTTAATGTGCAGGCTCACTTTCAATCAGTGCATATAGTTTCTCCTAAGTAACACCTAGTCATTGCTTCTCAACCGTTCCATCACCTTTAGAGAGGCAGTTTTACCACCACCTCTTGGACTAGATTGATAGCAACGCTGGTGTTCAAATGAAACTCTGTTGTACAAACAAAATGAGGAAATATTTAAAACAAAAGAAGGTGTTTCACACAATGCATAATTAAGTGGAACTCTCTGCAGTGGAACATTAGTGAAATTGGATCTATTGTCCATTCTAAAAATTAATGGACTCGTTAATGAAATTAAAATGGGCCTCTGAACACAAAGATGTTATGTATGATTAAGGAGGGTCCTGAGCTCTTGGAGGCTGGAAAAGACACCATCCCTGCTTGCCACTGGTTTTCATACTCTTTGATAGACATCTGCTGTCCAAGACAGAATAATGTTCCTAAACTAACAGTTGTCCTAGTGGCTTAGAGAGTGCAACTCAGCATGCTCTCCCTTTATCAGATTTGGGGAAACTTGCCAATTTGTTTCCTAAATCCAACACTGAAGCCATACCCAGCTGCTGCCTATGGGAGGAGCGGGATGCAGCCATTTGGAGGACAGAGCAGCCCTGCAGCAGTGTGAGGTTTCCAATTTGCAGGGGTCTGTCCTTCACTGGTGCTGCTGGCAGGTGTGGAAAGGACTGAGGTCCCCAGAGGCTGTCTGTCCCCACAGAAAACACATCTTTAATCATCCTTTAGCCCATTATATTAGCGGGTGTTCCTAAGGAGGTGGAACAACCTGTATGCAGGCTGTTTGGAGGATTAAGCTTTCTCAGTAAAAAGCTCATTTTATTCTTTATCAGATTAACTATTAAAAAATCTTATCTTTGCTGTACACACTTATCTATATCCTAATTAAAGAAAGCTATGTTTCAGTAAAAGGAGTGATGAAAATAATTATTGTTTGTACTTCTGAATTACATTTCCATGGGTAATGATCCAAATCTGCAACATATTGTATGTTCCGTAATCGTTTCTAAGTCTAACTAATCATGATTAAAGAATACCCTATCATACTGAGTAGTTCCTAAAACATCCTGCTCACATAATAGTTCATTTAGATAAAGGCACCAATGTGAATAATTTTAAAAATGAACAAATTGAATACTTTGCCTCGATAACTGTGTGCTGCTTACTCACAAATAGGGCTATGAGATGCATGATATTAAACTTCCTAGAATTTCTGCCTTACTAGAATATGAAATGCCTAAAAGTGCTAGAATAGGGTCATACACTTTTGTTACTTTTTTTGTATTTTATGATTGCTATTTAAGCCCAAGCTAGAAAGAATTTCAGTCAAATATCAAACTTAATTTGTAAACCAGCTACAGATACTAGAAATTTTCATTTCAAGGTAAGTAACTTTTTAAGGACTGCTTTTTTTTTTTTTTTTTTTTTAAAGTCCCTCATAGTAATATTACATGTGGCTGCTTCCCTGGTATTTTTCCATGAATCAGTGGCTGTAAGGGATTATTAAAAATAAACCTGGCTGCTTTGAAGTAATGCTAGTATTGTTTGTTTGTTTATTTGTATGAAAGCATCTGGAGGAGCCTGTAATATGGTAAGTTTAAAATATAGGAACAGGACTGATTTATTTGCAAACTTTCTTGATTGTTTTGTTTAATTTAAACCTGAATTCATTAGTAGGCATGTGATTCCTCTTGTAAGCAACTTGGTATGTGATGTGTTTTGGTTTTGTACTGGAAAATAAGATGTCTAGTAAGGGAGAGATTTGTTATACAAATGCTTTGTAGTACTTACTAGTCCGGTATACCAAGGGTCAGGAGTATTGCATGCAACAAGATCCCCTGTTCTGCAGACCCAGATGTTTTTTTTCCCCTCTTGCTTAAATAAGCACACTTCCAAATGTAGTCATATAAGGAGGTAATTTGTTAACTTTTGGAGCACAATGGTGTGTCCTCTAACAGCAGCTAGGACTTTTCTTGGAATTCATGGAGATGACAAACATTATTTCTGAGTGCTGTCATCTTCACTGTTGGGAATAACTGTGATAGTGGTGCTGAAAGTCATGGTGAGAGTATTGCACTGCTTGTAGAGGAGATACAAGCCTAAAGACTGATCTGACGAGCTCTGCTGGTTTACTGATAGATGGTTCTGCTAAAGCTGTGTAATAAGGGGACTGTTTTACTTGAAGGTTGGTTCCACAGTCAGGGGGTACATTGTGTAGGCAGAAATAGAAGGAGCTTTTAATAATTGCTGTTTGTATGAGCAGCAAAAAAGTAAATCCAAAATGTTCTGCAGTGAATAAGGAGCACGTGAGTTTCAGATCCAGCTGGTAAGTTCCTAGCTTCCTTTGAAGCTTTTCCATTTTTTGAATGGGATGAGTGGGGGTTTTTTTCCCCAGAGTTAAAATATTTTGGATTCAGCAGCTGTTCCTCATGCATAATATAACCTTCTCTTTTCTAGGACTAAAGATAGTTATCTTCACCGGAGGAAGACAAAGTTGGTAATGATGTTCATATTGCCATTTCTTTCCATGGCATGAAGCAGAAATATGACAGATTTTTTCTTTTTTCTTTTTTTTTTTTAATCTGGCAGTATATCCTATTTGAAGGAACACAAATTTATCGTGATCAGGATGAAGGAATAAAAAAATACTAAAACAAACTGTACATCTATTACTCTCTAGCAACTGTTAATTAGAAGTAAAAAAGAAGGAAAAAAAAAAAGAAAAAAAAAGTGATGACATACCACCTAATTAGTTTATATCTGCATTTAGAATAGGAGTTACAGTGCCACTATTCAACCTCACTTGATGATCTTGGTCTCCTGTCTGACTTCAGACATAATCATTGCCCACTTAACCATCCATCAGTGATGGCAGTGCTGTCTTGTTAATGAGGAGCAGACATGAAATAATGATGCAGATGCTATTGATCTAGAGCTGCCTTTGCCAGGCTGACCACAAAACATTGCTGACTTCATATAGTGCTAAGACATTCTCCAGAATTTAGCTGTAGCTACTTTTATCTGGTTCTCCCTCTCTTGTAGAGGTCTCACTTCATAGAGAATATTTAAATTCCATAAATACAAAAAAATATAATTAATCATTTAGCAATCTTGAATAGTGGGAAGATGAAGTTTGTCACCTGTACAAAGGTATTGGCCTATTTCTGCAAATCAGGGGTGTAAGTTTCAGTATAAGATGCCTTGGGGATCTTATCTCCCCAGTGTGAGAATTGACCGCATGTTTTATCTCCCACTTCCTTTCACTTAACTTGACACTAATTAACAAGAGGAATTTTCCTTTTATGTCTTGGAAGCTTGATTTCTAATGCTGTTTGAAACTCCAGGCATACAGTATCAGCTTGATCACTTCTGTGTGACTG